TCTCAAAAAAAAAAAAAAAAAACAACAAAAAATATATATGCAAACGCTCATGTGCAGTTGTGACATCTAGGCAGAATCCCATCTAATCCTTCTCAGAGACCCCTTGAGGTGGTTGTCAGCCCTATAGATCCTTATTTTATAGGTGAGCACAGGACAGTAGGGATGTTGGTCAAGGTGCTAGAGCCAGTGAATGGACACACCTCTGCTGGAACCTGCTTATCTAATTCTGGAGCCTGAGTCCACCCCAAGGCAGCAGTGTCAGAGGGGATGGAAAGGAGGGCACAGAGTCTGGATGTGCTCAGGAGGATGACAGTGAAGTCTGGATGTAGAGGTGTGTGCCCCATAGAACGTGATATGTCTGTCTTCTGAATGCTCTGTGAGGAAGACATCCCCAAAGCACAACCAGCCTGCTGGAGCAGCAGCTACAGGGCCAACCCTGGCAGAGTCCTTTTCTGACCAGGGGCAACACGTGGGCAGTTGAGCAAGTGAGCTGCACCCAGTCCATGGGGATGTGTCACCAAAGATGCCTGAAGCAGTGGACCCAGCTGCCTCAGGTTCTTATCCTCAGACTGTCCCCTATAAAGAGTGTGACCTGGGGCAAGATACTCAGCCTTTTGGAATGCAGTTTCCTAAGCCATAACCTGGGTTGCGTATACCCCTGGCTTGCTGGCAGAATTGAATATGTTGTGATGCAATTAGTCCAGCACCAAGCACACAGCAGGAGCTTTACTAACCACTCATCTCTCATTGACATAAATAAATGTGTTCAGGGAAGCCAAGGATCTTCTCTCCCGAGCTCTATCCTTGCTGTCTGAGCCCAGCTGGCTGTGGCTGAGGAGGGACCTCACCTTGTCTTGAATAGTCTCATCTCTTTCTTGGATCTCTCGCTTGAGGCCTTGGATGTCCTTTTCCAGGGACCTGATGACTCCTTGCAACTTCACCTGTTCTCCCTTCAGGATCTCAATGTCATTGATTCGCTCTTCAATCTCCTTCTGCAGGCTGCTGAACTAATGAAACAAATAGCAACGATACCGCCCACTAAAAGTCTTTGAACTCATGTCCACTCCTCCCAAGTGTCTGGATGAGAAGAGCTCCCCATCACTGGTCAGCTGTAGTCTGAACTGCCACCTTCTATGAACTGAAAACACCTGGCACTCACCATTTCCGGGTTTGCAGGAGAAACTATTTGGAGAATTTTGGACAGTTCAAGAACTTTCCAGGCCAAATGGACAACACAGTATTCTGTCACATGTCAGCCAGGCCTATTCCCTGTATGTGCGGGATGGCTGTATCTGCACAGAGCCTCTGTAGACCAGTACCCCAAGAGGAACAGGGACCTCCATGACCACACTGACCTTGAAAGGTGGGACCCATACCCCATCAAGGTCACAGAACTTGGGCCCTAACGGATGAACTGTGTTAGCCATATCCAAGAAGGAAGACATGACTGAGCCCCTGGATTTACTAGTAGTGTGATTTCTAACAGAAAGAAACTTGACCTTGCTTTGAGTTTGGCTTCTGTAAGGCTAAATATTTTGGGGAAACTGGCAATTCTTTAAGGGTCTATGAGTTGACTCACTCCAACCTCAGTGGACTAAAAATATCTTCCCCACTTTGTAAACCAAGCCTCCTGCTCCCTCTCCCACCCACGGAGTTTGAATAGGAGTTGTCCATGACGCTGCACCAAGAGCCTAAGGACACCTCCAGGCTAGGACTTTGTCTATCTCATACTCAGAAGATCTGTTTCCTTTCCTTTTGGGGGTTTAGCCCTGAGAGCACTGACTAAATCTTACTGGCAAAAAGGGAAAGGCCAGAGAGCATCTGGGTTTCTCAGGGAACCCCACTGTTCCTGAAGGAAAGAGAGAGGAGGGAAAGCTGAACAGCTGCCTGTTCAGAGGATGTGGAGAGGGTTTTTCTGCCTGAAGGTGGATTGGCCACTGCTCCTTTCCTAGCCTGCTTGCTGAGATGAGGATTTCAGGCAGGACCCCTGCCAGGCCTCCCAGGGTGGTCTGTCCACCTGTCCCAGCTTTCTTGGCCACACTGCCCTTGCCCATGCCCAGGCCCCTCAGACAGCAGCCTGGTAACCTTCTTCCTCATAATGCCTGTTTCTCCTTTGAGCCGCAGGTTTGACTCCTTTTCATCCCGAAGCTTCTTCTCATACTTGGTTTTGATATCTTGGATTTCTCGGTCTTCATCTTCTTCAATCTGCTTCTTGGTCTCTTCGAACTCCCGCAGCTGCTGCCTGACATCCTCCTGGGCCTGGCTCAGGGACAGGGAAAGTGTGTGGTCAGGGGAGATGGGATTCATGCCACCTTTGTGCCAAGAAGGCTTAGGGTAAGACAAACTCCTATCACAGGGAATGGGAGACAATGCCATTCCAGAAACGGTCACCCTGGGTTACCTCTTGACCTGTCCACCTTCTTCCTGTCTTCCTGTCTCCCCTTTTCTGTACCACATGAGGCCTCATGCTCTACCCTTCAACCACCGTCTTACCAACATCCTCAGACCCTGGACCCCTCTGGTCTTCCTCACATAGACACCCAAGCTTCCTTGGGACAATCGTAATTTTGTATATTTTTGTGAAAATACTTGGCCGTTTCTCCCATTAGAAGTAAGGTCTTTGAGGGTAGAAGTCTTGTGTATCGTGGCCACCACCAATTTCCCAGATTACACCATGGCCGGACACACAGCAGCTATGCAATATAGACCTGAATAAGGTGACCAGATTTTAACATTGGCAAAGTGGGACACCATTTGGGGGGGAGGGTGGGGCCTTGGGGGGTGGGGCCTGACAACAATGCAAACTTTGATAAGCAGTTCTCGATAATCAGTTCTCAACAATTATTTGTTATTATTAAAGTTTAACATTATAAAATTAACAAAAATAATATAAAACTCATATCCTGGTGAAATAGCCACATGGCAGCCGAAAATCATATATTCCCTTCCTATTCTCCTGCGTTCCCTAGCTTGTCGTGCATTCTTTCCCAAAACTGGACTTTTTAAAAATGCAGCAAGACACAGGACAAATTGTTAAAAATCAGGACTGTCCCACCAAAAGCGGGACGTCTGGTCACCTTAGACCTGAGTGAACTTTAGTCTTTAATTCTGCCCTCCCTCTCTGTAGTCCAACCAACTCTGACTTTTCTCTGACAGAAAGCATGGTGTGACTTGCTGGGAGGAGCACCTCTTCCAGAAGGGTGGTTTTCTCCTGCAGTTTAGCCTCATAAAACTCGGTGAGCTCCTCCAGGGCCTGGCTCTTGGTTTCTTCATTATCCCGAAGCTGTTTTTCATACTCTTCCTGCATCCTCTGGGACTTAAGCTGCAACTCCTGGTACTTCTCATATTCTAGAAGCAACTTCTGGTTGTTGCAACACTCTGGAAAGAGGCAAGGAAGGTGTTAATTTTTAAGGGAGAAGCAGCACCAGCCTCCAGGACACTCAGAACCTTGTGTGCTTCCCCACTCCTTCCAGCACCTGCTGCCTCCAGAGTTCAAACCCCTGCCCAACTTTCTTCCCTGCCCTGACTCCATCATCTCCTCCCAGTAGCTTATCTCCCTCCTCGCCCCATCTGCGCAGAAGGTTTCCAGGAAAGCACAGAGGGGTGTTTGGGGGACCAGGGCCAAAAAGAATGTCCTGAGAGGAGAAAACAAGTATCAGTATCCCTATTTTACAGAAGAATAAGCAGAGTTTCAGTAATGTTAGGTGACTCTCTAGAGCAGGGGTCCTCAAACTTTTTAAATAGGGGGCCAGTTCACTGTCCCTCAGACCATTGGAGGGCCAGACTATGGGCCCCGGGATGAGTTGGCTGCTAAGCAGGACAGGCAGCATTGGCAAAAACACCCAGTGGGCCAGATAAATCTCCTAGGCAGGCTGCATGTGGCCTGTGGGCCATAATTTGAGGATGCCTGCTCTAGAGCACCTACCAAGGAAATAGAGGATCTGGAACCTGAGGTAGTCTATCAGGCTCCAATCTTTAACTTTTCTGTATCTCCTACTCTAATGCAGTGGGTGTTTAATGCATGTTAATGAATAACTACACAGCAGTAAAAACCATGGTGAGTTCCAGGGGATAAATGTAGCCTGTTTTCAGCCAAAGCCGTAGTCCCTTTGGTGTCTGGGACTCTCAATGTTTTCCTGTGACCTATGTCCTCTTCCAAGCCTAGCCCACTGCCCTCTGCCCCAGGCCTCCACTCGTGGGCTCACCCAGGTCTTGCAGTTCCCGGTTCTGTTTTTCTAGGAGGTCTTCTATATGCTCACGATGAAATACATCCTGCTTGTCTTTTTCTGTTCTTAGAACCTAAAAAAGTCACACTTTTGCATTTCTACACATTTGCTAAAAGCAGGATTAGGGCAAGAACTAGTTATACAAGTATTATCCTCTTTCACTCACAAACATTACTTAAGCAACCACCACACTACCGCTTTCTATTTACGTTATATTCTGCTCTAAAAATTCTATACCTTCCCCATTCCTTTCCTTTTTATATCCTGGCTACTCAATGGGTTTGTCAGTGGTGAGTTCAGTTTTGGACATATATCAGATAAATTTCTGGGCGAAAAAGTAGGTATTTGTTAGAATCCTCTGCGGCTGGAACATTGCTGGCTCTTTACCTGAGGAGGAAGCTCCTTGCAGGTTGGGGAGATGCCATCCCCATGACCTAACTCTGTGCTTGGCTTATATGGGACAGCAAAAAATTGTTTTATTGACTAAAAGAATGAAGTTTTAAATGAATGAATTAGTAAAATTAATAACCAAGGCTTTTTTCCAGCCAAATTTAACATAAATAACACAAATATCCTATGAGCAAAAAATTAGGAGTTTAATTAGGGGCCAGAGTTATATAGAACAAAGAAAAGATTCTGGGAGAGTCTTGGACCAAATCAAACACATAAAGACCAGTTAGACTAATTTGATTTAACTTCCTGGCAATCCAGGAATCAATATTCTGCTAGCTCTCCCCTTTTATACTTTAAACATTTTTTCATTTGTTTTTAAATAAGATTTTTCTGATCATATATTCTCATTGTAGAGAATTTAGAAATTATGAAAAAGTATAAAGAACAAAATTTAAATTATCCAGAGATAAAATTGTATCATTATCTATTTCCTATGCATGTTTATTTTACTAATTAATATCAGTCACCATAGAGAGGTTTATGTATTTTTTTCACTTAGTACTTAGTTGTAAGCTATTCTGATGTCACCCACTGTATTTTAAAGTGGAATATTCTCAAATATCTTATTCTTTGAGCATAGCTTGGGTAGTACATGCCAGTACCATTTTGAACAAAGTGGAAATTTCTTGTTATTTGTGGTTATTGGTCAGTTTCTCAAACAGACCTGGTTTTTTGTTTTCAAAGACTCCATTTCCTGGATGAACTTGTCTGTTAGCTCTTTAATCTTCTCAGAATAGTTCATGTCCTTTAGTCGAAGCTGATACTCATTCTCCATCTTTAATTCTTCTACACGAGTCTTCAGCTCCAACATAATCTGAGCCTTTGGGAGAAGGAAACAGAATCAGTGTGGGTGAATCGGGCCTTGATCTGAGACGTACAGATCTGCCAAGCTTTAAAATCAATGTGTCTCAACTAGAACTTGTCATCTTTCCCCCCCAAGACACATAGGCACATGAGCTTGTCCCTCTATTTCAGTGGTTCTCAACTGTGGGTTGTGACCCACAGGAACTGTAGTAAAGGGCTGCGGCATTAGGAAGGTTGAGAACCACTGCTCTATTTGGTGAGCCCTCCTGTATGCCAGGCATTGTGTTAATGAGTCTCCTTCAAACCGGCCTGAGCGTCTCCTGCTCATGGAGGCCGACTCAGACCATACTACTTAATCCTGCTGCACCCACCTCCACTCCCAGCACCTGTGACACTGTTCTTTATTGATAATACATGCTTTATTATTTTCTTAGATCTTGGCACTAATACGTAATTTCCTTATTATTTTATTTATTGTCTTTTCCCTCTGCCTTCAGTATAGGGGTCCTCAAACTTTTTAAACACGGGGCCAGTTCACTGTCCCTCAGATCGTTGGCTGGACTGCGGGCCTGGGACGAGTCGGCTGCTAAGCAGGACAGGCAGTGGGGACAAAAACACCTGGTGGGCCAGAAAAATGTCCTAGGCGGGCCGCATGTGGCCCGCAGACCATAGTTTAAGGACCCCTGCTCCAGTAAAACTTAAGTACCAGGTAGGCTGGATCTTTGTTGGGTTTGTTTGCTGATGTATCCCAAGGACCCAGTGCCTGACACAGAGCAGGCACTCAAAAGATAACTATTCTATCATGAGTCCTGCCCTCATGGCAGCCAAATAAACATATAATTACAAATTGTGATAAATGCCCAGTGCTGGGCACTTCTCAGTACTGTTGGTCTGTCCTTTCTGGTGTCTTCCATGGCTGTGCCTTCAGTTTAGGCAGCAGCTCTCTGTCTTGCTGGTTCCTATGTCCTGTGTCTTCTTCCTCTATTGTACTCACTGATACCAAAGTTTTCTAAAAATACTGTAAGAGCTGTACCTCTCATTTCCTGAAAAATTTAATATAGATGACAGAGTGGGTAAGAACACAGGTATTTTCTCTTGTTTGCCTAGGAGGACACCTCCTGCATCTCCACCTCATGCTCACTGCTTTTTCTCCCCTACTGCCCATGAATGACTTGCCATCAGGGAACACGCTATGCTTGTTTCTGCATCCCTGGCCAGCAGGGACCTGGCACATAGGAAGTGCTGAGATGAGAGGTGAACACAAACCCCATGTGCAAGTTAGGGAGGTGGCAGGGAGGATGCTGGGTCAGGGCACAGCATGTGACTGGGTGCAGGGTAGGCATAGAAGAGGAGGCTGAGATTGGGTCACGAGTATCAAGCACCCTGCAGAGTAGGGAATTGGGGTTTTATTCTGGAGAACGTCTCAAGGTCCTCATCTAACCTGATCAAGCTGACTTTGGCATCATAACAAACTTCCAGAAAGCAGTGTGCGACCAAGATTAGAGAAGGTCTGAAGGCAGGATGATCAGTGGGAGGATGACAGCATGGTCCATGTGAGAGATGGCCAGGATTTGGACTGAGGTCGGGGAGGGAGGCAGAGAGGGAGGAAAAGCTTGGAGAGAGAGAGTTCAGAGAAAGTGGCTCCTAACTGGGTGTGGGGTGGAGACAAGTGAGGGAGGACTGTATTATTCCAGGTGTCCAAGGTTAACGGCCTACAGGTGGGGCATGTCCGGCCCTGTTTCCCTGCTGTACTCACAGAGCCTTGCACAGGATCTGCAGCATTGTCAGCACTGAGTGAACACTTACTCACCAGTGACCCTGGAAGTTCGCCTTGGGCTGGTGGGCTGCACTCATCAGTGGGAGTGACCCAGCTTCTGTCATGCTATGTTTGAGGTCCCTGCTCATTGTCCTTCCTCAATCCAGTCTCTAGGTCGCTGTAAAGTTATCTCTCCAGGATGTGACTCTTACCAAATTGGTCCCTAACTTCCATCTATCAGTGGGTCCTTTTTTTTCTTTTTTTTTTTTT